TTGTATATGTATACCACACAGGTATACGTGATTAGTGTTCTTCAGGAGCGCTGATTGGCTGGTTCGGAACTCATTAGCAAGAATTAGGCTAAGCTGGGCAGCCGAAGAGAAAAAACTCACGTGTCAAGAAATTAATTTCTGACCACCTTTTAGCATATTTACAGGAACCAAAAGGTTTGGGTTTTGAGTGCTATATTTCCTAAAACGTACAGTGGCAGTTATTTACCTCTCTGCCTCGCGGGTCAGCATAAGTAAATACTCATGCACCACTATTTACCCTCACTCAGCTGAATTCTTGTTAACTATAGCACGCGTATGTGAAGATTTTGTTTGGGAACGAAATAACCTGTGTCATACCGCCTGAGAAAAGAAATGTTTTCAGTCTTTAACAGACCTCGCAGACATATAACAATAGCAAAAAATACATTTCTGTGGGGTTCGAAGTTCAGCTATGTGCGTTTTTTGTCTTGATGTGCTTTCTACGATCGATTTATTGGGTTTAGACTGAAAACTCTCTTAAGTTCATAGTGTTTTACGAGACTTTTCCATTTGCTATTCTCTGCGTAATGTGAAAATCTTGAAATCCTTGGTTTATAGATTCCAGAGAATTGCTTGCGCCAAGGAACATGTTCAAATCTTCATAGTCTGAATTTCAGCCGTTTCTTCCCTTAAGGGAAGAGACGCCTGAAATTCAGACTAAAATCTTCATGAATTGCCAAGGGATTTACTGTCATTCGAATTTGTTTACTCGGTGACATTCATTACCTTTAGTTGTTTGTTATTAACTTTTTCCTCTAGCTAGCAATCAGATTTAGTGAACGCAAAAAGTAATTAGCAAAGCTTCAGGTAATGTTTCAGCATCCTTTCTTTAATTTTACTTATTATTACCAGCTTTTATAACCGTTTTATCACATTCAACGTCAGCTTTTATAACCGTAACGGTGGCCAATTTACCATTTCAACTTTGTTGATATATTCAAATTATTTCGTTACCCCCACCGACGCAGTGCCAAACAGTTTCTTTAGAAACTATCAGCCTTTTATTCATTTTAATTTTACTTGTTTTTTCTCGTTTTTTTTTCTTTTTTCATAATCGATTAAGGACATGTGGTCACTCTTCCCGATTGAAACTGCCATCATGTATTTCTAACGAGTATTAAGTCTCTGCTTCGGTATTTTAAATTTGTTACATTCACAGAAAGATATCTGAAAGACAAAAAGGAACAGATTACTTTTTCAGTCATAACCCTTTAATAAGATCTTTAATCTGATTTCGATTTGTTCTCGGCAGGTATGCTCTGAGCTCTAAGTTTAGCTTTTACCTTTTGTTGTAGCGAGTGACACTTTCAGTACCCTCAGAGTTCCAGAAACACGTTCAGTTGAGCTAGTTCATTTTATTAAAAGTTTATCGAAATCCGTTGGTCGCGGACACGATTGCACCAATGCCATTTAGTTTTCGTTATGTTCAATACCATCTAGTTATATCTTTTGATCACATTCAGGGTTAAAACAAATTGATTCACCGGCGGGAGTCATCATCAGTCGTACTTCCATGATTTTAGACCACTTTTTATTTAAATCGCCTTGCTTTCATTTCCGTTTCTTTAAAATTCTTAAGCCCCCCTGTAATTAATAACAATTCCTACAGCTTTTCATTGATTTTTCCTAGAAAGAGGACTTCAGTTGACTCAATCTAGTTAAAAGAAGCTTTGGTGTTCTCGAGTAGAAAACGTTCGATCTCATTTTTGCTTTCTCTTTCTCTTCCTCTATTGTTTGTGTTTGTTTGTTTTTCTTTTTTCCTTTCCTTCATGGTTTTCGTTATCTTCTCAGTACCATCATTATAACCATGACATCGTCTGTAAATTGACAAAAAAAAAACAAAACAAAACAAAACAAAACAAAACAAAGCAAAATTAAAGGACTTGCACGAAGCTTGTTAACAATATTTACAGCACAGTTTATTTGGAAAAAGTTATTGAAACTTCCGCCTGCACTAATCGCAGAGAAGATTCAAATTTAAGTGATCTTCCTTTTGAAATATTACTTTTCACTAGTGAATTAGTTAATACTGATGAAAAACTAATATGTGTTATCGTGATATGATTGAATGTTCGAAACTTGATATCAAATTCCGGTTCCTAAATCCATTCGGACGCTCCTCAACGTCGATTGGGGAGCGCCTTTGTTGTTTGTTTCCAATTCCTATTTCCGACTTCGTGGTCAGCGGCTCATATACCCATGCATTTGACATTCAAAATCGGTGCATCACCGTGAAACAGAAAAAAAATTAAAGAAAAGTTGTCTTTTACATCGCAACACAGGAAGAAATTTCTATGATTAGGAAACTAAAGATCTCCTCTTTTAATCTAATTGAAGCTTGGCTTAGTATTTATCTGATAAGTTTTATATCAAAGGATTCAGTTCCAGGACAGCTGCATGACTCTTTTAGCGAAAAAAATCTCACATGCAAATAAGGCAAAAAGCAATTAAAATAACTTCCTTGTATTTGCTCTGTACAATTACGTGTCGCAGTTTGCGAAGGAAATAACACGTAACCTACCGCGGGGAACTATAAAAATAGTTTACATCGCTTGTAATTCTGGTCGGCCCTGTGTAATATGTCTGTTCCCTTCGCTTTGGCCTTAAAGAGTGGACAACAAACTTGTGGTTATTGAGGTGCGGTTCTAAGCTCTTTCTGTATCATCTGTATATTATCAACCCAATGAATTCAGTTGTAGGAGAACTGAAAGAAAATTCAAACACATGATCGTTAATGTTAATAGGGCGTTTTTTATGCGCTGTCAATCCTTAGACTAGAGCTTAGGTTGAAGTGACAGGCCCATTTGAAATATTTTTTTCCATTGATTCTATAAACTTTGTTGTTTACACATAATCTTTCATTTGTGAGCTACGTTTAATGAACACTATTTGACCGAATGAAGAATCGAATGAGAAATATTGACTAATTTCAAAGGTGTGTTTAGGAAGAAGCAGGGTTTTCTACCGTAAATTTTGTCTTTGGTCAAGTTATCGTCAGTTATTAGGTTTCGTTGGGCCATTTGGAATAAAACTTTAAATAGTAACTTCCCGTATGCATCCAACTAGTCTTGATTTTATAAAACTATTGCTGGGTTAACAGAAATATTGATAAAACACCATTCTAAAACGATGCAGAAGATTTTCCCCTTTTCACAACATAGAGGCAAACGCCAACATCTTACTAAGTTCAAAGCTCAGAGACCTTTAGCCAAGTGACCATAAATTTCTTTGTTTGATTTCTTCTCTTCTTTATAATTTTCACTCCAGTTATGTCCGCTTGAAAATAGAAAGGGAAGCAATTTCGGTTTTCGTGCGCTTAAGTAAATGCGAAAGTATAGTCAGTTAAAGAAAAGACAATTTGCAGACGATGTATCTTTTATGATTCAGCTATATGCTTCTTAATTCTTACGATTTGGGGATATATAGAACTAATAATGTGCTTTATACTAAAGTATAAAAGATAAAGTAATGATATCGTTGTATCACATTTTCCAAGATACCTTTTTTTAGTGGCTGGTCGAATAATTTGGCATGCGTTTGTCACTAGGAAAGGTTTTAGATGGACGGATGTAGGTGTTTGAATGGTAGCCGACAGTTTGTCGTAAATTGACGCCTAAGGAAAGTTTTTATTTATTTTCGATGTAGAAAGCGGAGCCAGCAAAGTCGTTTAGTCTTTTTTTTCTTGGTAGTTACGTGCACTTGGGTCATGTCAGGAAATGAAACTTAAATAGATAATCCATTATTTATCATGTTGTCGGGAGAAGCCATTATAATTTCTTTGTTTTATTTTACTCGACTTTTTGTCGTCAAAAATGAAAGTTGCCGATATTCTGTTTTAAACATCTGACTTCAAAAAGGGTTAAGATTGAATTTTAGTCAATTTTATCATTCTTACAATAACTTTTTGTCAACAAAGCCAGAGATAGCTAAATTTTTTTCACTAAACAAATATGAACAAATTAGGGAACATGGGACTGTAAGATGCACTTGAAGTGATTGCGTGCAAATGTCAGTCGCGATTTCTCCCGTGATAGTGACTTCTTCAGCAAACCAGAAATAGAAAAGAAAAGGTTTTTGAAACAAAAATTAAAACTAACATTTATCCCACAGGAGCATGTATTTAGTCTAGCGCCTTCAAAGTCCATACGTACTACGTGACTACTTTTTTCTTTGCCTTTCTCTCTTCGTTTCTCGTTTTCGAAATTGTCCTCAAACGCTTGCTAATTAAAATGATTACGAAAATTGTAAATGTCTCTGTGAAAAATAACGAACATTTTAAGGGCTGGAAAAAATACTCTATGTTGAGAGAGAGAGAGAGAAACAGTAATTTGAGTAATGACAGAGATAAGAAGGTCACTTCACTTATTACCAGCATTGTAATGGACTTTAATGTTCATACCTCACTCCTCATTAATTCCGCAGCTGTCATTCTGTTGAGCATGATTCAGTTCATTTACGTGTCATTTCCACTGATCATTAGCTAAGATTTGACTTAATCCTCTGCACCAACGAGCAGTTGTATTGGACGTTTCCAAATCATCCAGTGATTAGTCCAATCCCGCGTGGGATTTTTTATAACAATTTATCAAATCTTTCGTACACTAGCAATATCGGAAGAACATTCGTGTTTCAAATGACCCAGTCTTTGTTGATAGTTTTCATCGTTATCATTTTGGATCTATCATATGTCCAGGCTTGATTTCTTTGTATTTATATTTATCACTTTGACAGTAACATTTATTTCATGTTTTCCTTCAATAGCGTTCTCGAGAAAGGAGGCCAGCTAGGAAAATGGTAACCAACGGTACATCTGAGAAAAATCCATACGATGACCTCAGAAAAATATTAGCAGCAAGAAACACAGCCGAATGCATTACAGAGACGACAATTTATGTAATAATCAACCTGATGGCCTTTTTAGGCAACATCCTCGTTTGCTTGATCTTCTACAAAAATCCAAGTTTACGAAGCGTCACCTATCTGTATATTTTTGCGCTTGCCATATCGGACGTTTTCATGGCAGCATTTTGCATGCCTCTCGTCTGGGGAGTATTGCTCTTGGGTGAATGGAGATACGGGGAGGTTGTATGTGGATTTCATGGCTTCGCTGTGCTCTTCTTAGCATTCGTGTCTTTGCAGACCATAGCTTTGTTAGCCTTTAATCGGTACTGCCGAGTGGTGAAACCATGGCTATTCCGCAAGATTTTCAAGAAGAATTTCGTTGGATTCTCCTTATTGGCTGTCGTTTCCTCCGCCGCGTTTTTTCTTGGCCTACCTCTTGCTACAGGTTGGGGCTATTTTCATTTCCATTCTGGCAAGATTACTTGCGTATTAGAATTCCATCATCCCGCCACAGACAAGATTTACACTGGCATCTTGGGGTTGGTCAATGTCGTTGCTCCATTTGCTGTCATAACTTTCTGCTACACCAAAGTGTTTTTGAAAGTACGGCAGCATCGACAACGCTTTTCTTCAGTAACCTCCACAAACCCAAGACTGAGCGTTGAAGAAATAAACATCACTAAAACGCTATTTGCCATGGTGTTGGGTTTCACCTTGTGTTGGCTCCCTGTTTTCACTATCGAGTTCACGGATGCTGTAACAGGAAATCACTCCTTACCTAGGAAGGTGTATCTCATCAATGTCTTCCTAGTTTCGATAAGTGCTGCAATCAACCCAGTGATATATGGGGTGCTTAACAGATCCTTTCGCGCGAGATACTGCGAAATGTTTCCTTGTCGAGGCAGTTGCTTAATGACAGTTTGGAACATTCAAAAGGAACAGGAAAATAACTCAAAGCGTGAAAGTGCTGACACATACAACTGACCGCAAAATGGACTCTTTTAATAGGATATATCGCCTGTATGAAAAAGAAACAGCCAAGGACAATATCAACTGCTGCAGACCTACTCAATGATTTGTTCTCAGTCATTTTCTGAAGGATACTTGCCATGCGCTTCATTGGTTAATTTTTGATTCATGGCAAAATATTGTAATCACAATTCAAAAATTGACGATGATAATATTCTTACTTTACATACGTATGATGCACGATCCTAGC